ATTTTCATCGCCGGACTCGACAAAGCTTCTTGTTTGTCTTGTCTCGACTGAAAAAAATGAACAAACACTAAAGTCCATGAATCATAGTGAACTCACCTTCCTGCGCTTGATAAATTCAAAATAATTCAATTTGGTCATTCTTTACACAGAATTCTCGATATTCCCGGATATATAGTTCGTTTTTTCTCCTATACATATCCATATTCTATAAAAAGCAAACTACCAGCTTACGAGACTTTCTAATATAAATTCCATTCATTAAAAAATCAGGAAATTTCACACAATCAACTCATGCATTAAGTTTTGGGACTTTCTATTGCGAATGTTATTACTTGTGTAAAATTAAATTTATTTACTTTAGTATCACAAATTACTTTCAGAGTAATTTTTTACGAGCATTTTCCACCGCATGTTGTCATTTTGTAATAGCAGCGATCTCAATTTCTCCGACACAATCGCTAGAGACGTGCAGCTCTCACAGTTTCAATTATATTTCCAGTCTAGATTAATCTTAACATTATTTTATAATTTGATTATATTTCCTGCCCGAAAAAATTCCTCTAGCGTTGATCTTTTTACACCTTCATATTAGTACTCACTCCGTCAGAATGGCATTGACAATACCAGACTTCGTTAAGAAATTTCACCCATGAGGCATAAAAGTGAGTCGACTAAAATTGTCAGCTTTAGACAGCCGAGTTAGAGACCAAATGACCCAGTTAGAGCTTGTAACTCGGTACATCGCTGTCATATGGAATCCAATGAGCTGCATTTTTATCAGTACCACACGGTTAACTTTAGCACTTTGCTGTCTTCTTCCACACAAAACTTATCCGTAGTCGTCTATAAAAACTCAGCCGAAGAGGAACCTAATCTGCGGATCTGATGTTTTCCGGAGGTCATTTGTGCTTCAACTTTTCCTTAAATTGGATACAAAAGCAAGCTTGGATTGCGTCCGACCTCCAAGGGAAAGAAATGGGATTGGACGATTGGGAGCGATTGCACGCCCAGTAAAAGAAGACGGCTCGCTTTTAAGCTTTGATGAGCTTTTTTTCATCTGGAGCGATCCCAAGCGTCGGCTTGCGTTTCATCTCCTAATCGACCAAAGAGCTAAGCCGTCTAATTGAAGAGACAACCCAAAAGCTCAATCCGTTGATGAATGAAAGCCTATGAATTCACATGTTAACCTATCACGCGCTCCAAAGAGCTTTTAGTTGAGTCACTGTCATTTTTCTTGAATGAAAATAAAGTTTACATTTTTGGAGTTTAGTAGTAAAACTTTTTGTGCCAGGGCTTTGGGCAATTGGCGACAATATGGAACTTTATGGTTGATGTTCCCAAAAGCCAGATAAGTTAAGCATCGAACCGACGTAAGAGAGAAATAAAATGCATTACCAACCTCGTCGGTTTGTCATGCGTTTGTTACGCTTGTTCACTTTAATTCGATATATTGACAACCATTATTGATTAACTTTAACCATCTCTATGCGGCTGCTGAGTAATTTTATTTATATCAAATACAATAATATTTTGCTGTTTTTTATGAAAATTTTTAAAAAAATTTCATTACGTAATAGCGCAGGAAGCAGATGAGCCATTATTAAAACCAGTTTAAATTACGATTTCAAAGAATTCATTTGACGCGTTAGATTTTTCTTCAGCTTCATGGGTATGTATATTCTGCTTCAGTGCAGATCAACCTTTTCCACATCTTCGTGCATCAAAAAACTGCCACCGTTCGCAAAACTTGGCTGAGCTTTAGAATATTTTCACTTCAGGAAATACTATCCCAAATTCCCAACATTTTTGCTAGTTTCTTAAGATATTTTCGCCGTTCTAGGTAAAAACAGGCTTGGCGTGATTTTTTTTATTTCCACTCGTAAACATAAATCCCAAATCCTCCCAGAAACCATGAGAGCTATTATAGCCGAATTCATCACCAGTGATGTGGACACTGGACTAGCCACTCACCTTGAATTTAGTAAAAATAAATCACAAAATATTTTCTGTTCTCGTATCAACAGGGAAACCTCTGAAGGTTTGTTGTGGATTTCTCAGCCACAGCCAGGGATCCATCCCGTATTGGGGCAGCCAGTCTTCCAGGAAGTGTTGTCCACAGCTCATTTAATCCCGGCTTAAAGACTAACAGCTTTTGTTCATTTCTTAATATTGGCATAGCGTGAGTGTAAAGGGAACAGCAGCACCGTAGAACCGGAGCGGTCGGTGCGATTCAGATATCGAGTTGACGATACGATTTTGTTACATTTGAATGCTTTTCATTATCTACGTATGCATCACAAAAGAGAAAGCGATGCTGAATTCAAGCCTCCGACGCTGTCTTTATAATCGTCCACAATTTATCGTTGGCCGCAAACATGCCGAGCATCGTCTGCGACTAACATCCGATTTCCATCAACGATATAGATTCCTACACTTCAATCAATTCACTTTTCTCAGTGATTTTTCCGTTGATTAATTGATTTCAAGCCAGAAAAGTTTTTTAATCGCTTCAGGCTCTGCCTCCTTAAAAATGCACAAGAATTTGGTTTGTCTCTAGTAATTATCAAGTTTACTATCCTAAATTATTCTAATAAGGATTGGATTATACTGGGAATTACTCAGGAAGATACACAAATGGTCATATCGTGTTCAACTGATTATGCTCAGAACATTAGTGGTAGTCACTTAAGTAATATAATAACATAATACCACAAACATAAGCAAGCCCTGTGGGGCTTGGCAAGTGACACCCCTGTTCAAAAAAGGTGACAGGAGTAACCCAGGTAACTACCGTCCTGTAAGTCTCACAAGTGTTGTGTGTAAGGTGATGGAATCGGTTATGAGGGATAGGATTATAGATCACTTGACTGTTAACCATCTTCTATCAGTGTAAGGCCAGTCTAGTCAAGAAAAGTACAAGAATCGGCGACAGGCCTATCCAGGCCTATTTATTTAATGCCGAAGATACTATACTATACTAAAAGCCCTATAGTCTGTAATCGACGCCGGATTTAATGTCTTAGAATGCCTAGAAGAATATTCCGGAAGTACGTATGTCTTAGAATGCTTAGGAGGGTATTCCCTTTTTTCATGACATCGACTTTACTAAACGGCAGGTTTTTAAATAGAAATACCTTTCAGAAATTATAAGCACTGATTATCGCTCGACGTAGCCAGCTCAGCGCCTCGCCCTTGGGTCGCACTTCCTCCTCGCTTCCTCCTCTCTTCAAATCCCTGCATTGATTTTGCTTTGTCATGTCCGCAAAAGGAGCGATGCAAACGGCGATGCATTTGACAGCAGCCCAAACTCGGCCCCAAACTTTTATTTTTTCCGGCAAACTGCTCAGTCGACTCCCGATTAAAAAATGAACCAGCTACTCCTGCAGCAACTCGAGAAAACTTGGATGGATTGATCCCCGTTTAGACTTGGGTTGCTTAAATGAAATTTGCTGAATCGGTCTCGGAAATATTATGACTAACTTTGTTATCTTATGACAGTTTGAATCTCGCCTGAAGCGATATTTACTGCCTGCAACTATTCATAAATGTCATGTGCATAGTATAGTTCAAATCTGAGCGACATAATGATGTATGTTGCATCATAATAATAAGTTGATATAACGGTTTGAAAACGATAATTCAATTAAAAATGGCAGATAATATAGAATAGAATAGAAGTGTCGGCGTTGAAGGAATAGGCCCATGGCCTGTTGCCGATTCTTGAACTTTTCGTGACTTGATTTACAAGGGTTCCGGCCTTTGGAACCCGATCTTTCCATAACTGACGATTGATTGAGATAGTGTCGCATGGATGTGTTCCAACGCTGTTTTTTTTTTAGTTTATAGCCGTGGCCCCTGGTGTTGGTTCTTGTTATGGTAAGTTGTTGCCTAAACATGATATGTGATTCATTGCTTTTTCAGAGCATCATTTCGACTGATGAAAAAACGCCAATAAAATAACTGACATTAGGTCAGTTACTTCGTTGATGACACCGTGCATTCGTTCGCCAGGGAGAATGCATACATTTAATTTACATTTGGAAAGATAAAAAAAATCAGAATCATCTCCGACTTCGTTTATAACATTAATTCTTTCGTGTATACCATTCTTGAAGAGGTTGCACATCGTATCGTGTGTTTCCTCGCAACCCCTACGACCCAACATAAAGAAATATCAAGTACCTCAAGCAAGTGTTCACGCAGTACAATCTCATCCACAACAGCCATCCCCAACCTAGTGAGGTAACTAGGTCCCGAGTTCAGCCATAAGATAAGCTTGCATGAGCAGCACAAGTGCGCTGCTAAGATATGCAAGCCGAGCACCGACCGCCTCGCAATACCTTTCGATGCCATCATTGAAACGAACCTCTTATGGGATATGGCGACCTGCGGCACTTAAGAGAGGAATTTACGCTCAATATTATGCCTCTCTCGGCTGCGTGGGAAGATTTGAAAGAAGACGGGGGATAGATAGACGGATTCTGAAAAATTTATCCGACGAAAGTACGGCAGGTGTAACGAACGGATAGCGCTTCCAAAAGATAGAACTTACACTGAACTTACACGTGCCTAGCAAATTATACAAGTGCTAGCACGCTACATACGGTATATTAAACTTAACACGTTTTTCCACTATTATCAGATTTTTGCGACAATGAGATTAGGTAATGATGCTTCCAAACTTCAATATTGAGTGCATTCTGAAATCAATTCATATAATTCTTAAATTAAAAAACAATAACTTATTAATACAGAAACATCTTCAGAATAAATACATTAACTCACGGTTGAAAAAATATCAGTAACTATTTTCAGAATTTTATATTTGTTCAACTATGTTGTAACTGGTCATGTCTATTGATGAAAAATGCATGAGTAAAAGTCCATCATTAAAGTAATATTTCTAAGAAATTGCATCATTTAGTGAAAGCATGGCTACACTGATTCCGATGGCAACACTGCAGGTCTGTATTTAATAAGATTCCCATTTCCCATGACGTCATGTTCAGTTCACCTACAACCACGATGAAAGCAGTGTCGCAAAGCCTACTTTCCTCCACCAATCTTTCTATTTCTTGCTATAATCGATTAGTGTGTGAAGAGCACAATCGCAAGACTATACCTTCGTGATTTTAAGTGTAAATTTAGTTCTTTTCAAATTTTAATATTCTGTGAAAATGCCGCGTGAAGGGAAAGGAAAGAGAAACGGGCGCAAAAGCGCTCCAGCTGTTCGGAAAGGTAGGTAGTGCGCAGAAGCAAAAGACGATTTCAATTAAATATTCTCTGTGCTAAAATTAAGAATTCCGGCAATATTATTAGTCATTATATCTAAGTAAGTAGGGCTACCCGAACTAATTAAATGTATTTCACGGAAAGTTATATTTTTCTTGTTATGTAACGGACTAAACGGAGCCTGCATTGAATTCTAGCACGCCTTACACGTTGGATGGCAGCCGAGTTGTTGACCTTGACGAGCATTTGAATAGGAGTTCTTAGCTCTTGTCTGACTAGCAATTGTTGATAGGTATAGTCAACTGATAGAAATTATTGCACGCCAATGCACGATTTTATTTGCATCTGCTGTGCAATTTTTACATTTTTGCACAGCAAAAATTGCTGTGCAATAATTTGAAAAATTCTGTGCAAAAATTGCACAGCGATTGTGATGCCATTTCTCATCATCACATCACCTATTCCCATTCACACTGTCACTCGCAATGCAATTTTTAGAATAAACTAGTAAATATTACTAGTTTTCTCTTGTAGTAGTTGTGTAACACATTAATATTATTTTTGCAATGTAGTGTGTATTTGTAGTTTGTACCCAGGTCTCATACAGTGGCAATAGTCGTTGGAAATAACTTGGAATTTCAACGACTTTTGCTAAAGTTATCGACCAATTTTTTTACTTTACAATGACTTTCGAGCTAAAATAATAGGACATTTATCTTTTTCAATGACTGCCAACTAATGGGACTCTTCCACAATAAACTTATGACGACTGCCAACAAGCAACTTAGCGAGACCCGACAAGATATCATACGACTGTGGTACTGACTAAAACCCGGACCCCAACACTCCAACAGCGCATTACGAGCGGCGGATGCATGGTGGCAGGGAATTATTGTGAGTACTTATCGGTCCACCGCCGTGCGGCGGTCTTAACCCTTCGCAAGGCCCCATGCCCTTGGCCCTTGGGCTCCTCTTGCAAGTTGTAATGGTCTAAACTCAACAGTTTGACCCCATGCCCATGGTCTCATCACAACTCCCTTTAGAAATGTGTGGAGTTTCGAAATTGATAGTAATAAATCAATAAATATTTGAACTGGGAAATTCCTTAGTTACTTACGTTGGTTCTGGAATGATATCAATGATGTAAAAAATGACAATGAAATCGGTTAAGCCTCAGCCATGATTCTAGCTTTGCTTAGTCCTTACACTCTTACCTCGTAATTCATGATGTTAGAACTTCGATATTCAAATATTGACACTGTCAAGTGTCATCTGTGTCAATATCACAATCAAAATTATTGCACAATCAGAAATGTGTTATAATATCACAATCGAGAATATTATTCACAAATAACCATCCATTTCAATGCCAAACTGGTCCCATCTTCACGCTAGTCATATGTAAACATACCGGTATGGCTAGCGGTGACGTCACACACAAGAACACGTGGGAGACAAAAAAAGCAATATTTCCTTGTACCACAAACAAATAAATGTAAATAATTAGCAATGGAAAATGTGTTTCTGCAACATTTTGAGAGACTGTGCCTAAGCAGAATAATATATTGTTATTATTATAGTTGTATAGTAAATATACTGACAATAAAATAGTTCCTTTGATGGCCACTGCTGGCGCTAGCATCTGGATGTGGAAGCATAATCTTTGTTTGAAATTCAAACAATTTAATATCTTACTATGCCACAAGTTAATACATTTAAATAATTAATAATGGAAAATATGTTGCTGGAACACTTTAAGAGACCGGACCTAAATAGAATACGATATTATTATATATTTAGTCAAGATACTAAAACAATAAAGTAGTTCATTTTTTTGCCGCTGCTAGCGCTGGCATCTGTACCACTGTAGCCTGTATGTGAACCTTCCATTCGTAATATTAATTCAGCATGGAATCATGGAGATGCAACTTCTATGATTAATTTGAATCATAAAAATTAACCTAATGCAAGAAATTAGCAATCAATAATTCAACGTTGTTTTGTAAGTTTTGTACCAACGGAACTACGGGAAACTACATTAAATACGTATTGGCAACTTAAGCTAAAAAAATGCACTGCAACTGTAATCAGCTGTGAGAGAAGGTGCCAGAAAGCGCGATGGATTCAATTTAGTCATTTTTTATTTGAAATCGGTCTCAGTTCTTTGGACTAGGAGCGTAAATTACAGTGTAAAACCTATTAAAAGTTTACGTCTCTGCGTGAATTTTGATGCTGTTAGCATTGAAATACTTGAAAGTATCTCTGATGCAAGAAATACTGGCTAAATACATTTTAATTTAGAAATTAACATCAATCAAAATTACTGTTGTTCAGGCTTCAGGGCTATGTTGGTTCTTGCGAACCGATTGTTGCATCCAGTCGCTTATATTGAAAATAGAAATATTTAAGCAAGTATTTCTTGCGTCAGAGATAATTCAAAGTTTGTTAATGTTAACAGCATTATAATCCATGCAGAAACGTACATTTTCTACATAGATATTAAAAATTTAGGCTCTATGACTTGTATACCGTAAAATGGGGTAACTTAGACCGGCGGGGTAACTTAGACCACTTTTCGTTTTTTTTTTAACAAAAATCCCCACAACTCAAAAACTATTTGACATAGAAAAATGTTGTCAATGGGCATTAAAGGCCTAATACTGAGGCTACATAACACAATAGAAAGATTTGAAAAGTTTGCATATCTAATAGGTTAAAAAATTAAAAATGTGACCCACGAAAAAAAGCTATTATTTAAAGCCTGTCAGAGTACCCCCTGTCTCTTATACACATCTAGATGTGTATAAGAGACAGAGATACGACTGCGGTACTGACTAAAACCCGGACCCCAACAGCGCATTACGAGCGGCGGATGTAAAATGTTCAGCCCCGGGACAACGCAACCATCATATGTATTGAAGCTTGCAAAAATAATCGGACAGATTACGCCAGTGTTTTTTCCACTTAGAAGCTAGAATCAAACTTTCTTGAGGAAATTTTCTGCATGTTATATTTTTATTTTAACCTTGACATGTAAGAGCATGTAGCTAGGTGTGCAATATATTGCGGTGTTTTTATGCATGATACTCGTGCATTTTAACCGATTACGTACATCTGAAAATATGTATGCAAAATATTACGATGTTTGTGTGCATGAAATTCACGCACTTCAACTTAATACGCACATTTGAAAGTCTGTATATGATATATATCATAGGGCCTGTATTCATGTTACGCGTGCGCTTCAACACTACGTATACATCTGAAAGCTTACATGTAATATATTACGATGCCTGTATTCATGATACTCATGCACTTTAACAATGCGTACATCGGAAAGTTTGTAAGCAATGAAATGCGAGCTCGATGAAACATCATAAGACCTAACGGTGATGTTCAGCTTGTAAAATTTTTTCCATTTCACCTTCATTCCTGAGTTAAACAGAAATTTGAGCCAAAATTTACAGTGACCAAGAAATTTCTTTCAAACTACTGAACAGATTCGAACAAAACTTTGAATATACATTCCTAACCTTCCAACGGTTATGTTTAGCTCGTGACAATTTTTTGGGTTTTAACTTCCTTTTCAAGTTTTTTCCATTTATCTTCATTCATGAGGTACATCGCAATTTGGGCCAAAATTTGCAGTGAACAAGAAATGTCTTCTAAACTACTGAATAGATTTTAACACGTTGACTACGTATTGGTACATATGCGTACCACGAAATGTATTTCTCCTGGTACATAATTCAGAGTTGCCAGATGGCCTAAAAACGGCCAATTAAGTCCGTGAACAAAAAGGCCAAAAAGGCCTATAACTCAATATGTACTAGTATATTTGTAGGTTCCGGTGTAAAAATTCAAATTTTTTTAGTTAATTAGGAAGCGCCCCTTACAACCCCTATCATAAATTTTAGCCGACCACCTAAATTGAAAAAACTAAATCGCGGAATTTGTCCGGTAAAAAAAGAAAGTCTGGCAACCCTGATCCATAATAGTACTAGAAAAATGAAACAAAAGTACAAGATGAACCAATCGTAGTCAACGTGTTAATGAGACTTTGAATACACAATCCTAACCTCTCAGTTAGTGAAAAAAATTTCTATTTTGCTTTCGTTCACAAGTTATAACGGATATACGGAGAAACGACCGGCATTTTTTAGGCTAATTTTTAAATTTGAATTGACAACGAGCCATATACCGGTACGTATAGCCGTATAACTTGCAAACGAAGAAAATGAGCTTAAAATGTTTCGTTCGCTGCAAATTTCTGCACGTATTGCCATATTACTCACGAATGAAGGTGAAATTAAAAATATTTTCACGTGCTAAACATCACCATTAGGTCCTAATGAATACGTGTACAAGTTTCATTGAGCTACGGTCATTACTTTGGGAGATATTAATTGCTCACTGAATTTAGATATTTACAGTAAGACCGGCAGCATTTACGGTCTCAAATTTTTTCAAGACGTTTGTAACACGCGCATATTCCATTGATGATATTAAACTCACTGGAAAAATTTATACAAGTATCATTATGTTGCAAGTCAGATCACACGCTTTAATAGTAATCAATGGGAAATTTGTTGATACAATTTTCTTTTGCTTATAAATGACGTGCGATATTTATTTTTTCCGCAAGTTACAGGCTTGGATGGGCAGCTCAATGGCAAATGGTTTTTACTCATATGAACTGTGTAAGCCAAAGATTCCATTATCATGGATGTTGAGATTAATTTCACGGCACTATGACACTTCTGAATAAAAATGGTTATAACCTAATGGCCCTATACTTAGTGAACGAGATTATTAGGCACAAAAAATGTACTACATAGACGCGAGAAAAAGGTTTGAGCGCAATTTTTAATTGAATCATATCTGAAGTTTGGATATAATTTTTGGTCGCCTTGGATGACAGGTCACGAGTCTAATGATCAGCCATATAACTTGAGAATGCAGCAATTGTCGGAGAGAAATTCTATGATCTAAACACGTGCTGAAGG